TCTCTCTGGGTATGTCTACACTAGAAAGTTAGTTCGAACTAACGGACGTTAGTTCGCACTAACTTTAATAGGTGCTACACTAGCGCTCCGCTAGTTCGAATTTGAATCGAACTAGCGGAGCGCTTAGTTCGAACTAGGTAAACCTCATTTTACGAGGACTAACGCCTAGTTCGAACTAGCTAGTTCGAACTAGGCGTTAGTCCTCGTAAAATGAGGTTTACCTAGTTCGAACTAAGCGCTCCGTTAGTTCGAATTAAGTTCGAACTAACGGAGCGCTAGTGTAGCGCCTAGGAAAGTTAGTTCGAACTAACGTCCGTTAATTCGAACTAACTTTGTAGTGTAGACATACCCTTAGTTACTTTGAAAGACTGAAGGGCAGAGCTGACTATTGAGAGGTCTGATCTCAAGTGCAAACTTGAGAATTAGCTTTTGAAAACCATCCACTCATTTTCACTAGGTTTTGGTATAGGACATTAGAAATTTTCAAGTAATCTCCCATCTCCAATTCCAACATGCATCAACTTTGCATTAGAACTACAGCTGCTTCCTAGCTTCTCGCTTCCTGGATGGGCAAAGAGCTGGAAAATTTTGCATCATTTTAAACTCCTCCCAGTTGCTTCAGGCAAATGCTTTAGCTGATGGCTAAAAGTATTTAGATGAAAGGATGTTTACTTGTGATGCAAGAGATGGAGGGTAAGTAATGTGTGGGAGAGAAGACAGCAAGGAGGTTCTCAGGATTCTAGCAGTGAAACAGTAAGTCGTCCTCCCCCCCCCCCCGGCACCCTCCAGGCAAGGGATGGGTGAGAGCCACCCACTTAAAAACATATACTGCTGCCCTAATTGTGTCTTATATTCAAGTCTAATTAAAACAAGTTTGAATAGGTGTGTATAAAAAGTAGCTAGATCACACAGATACTTTAAATAGAACCTGAAAATGGTTTGTGTCCTTTCTTGCTTATGATTTAAAAAATGCCTGAAAGGGTATGTCTCCCATAACCTTCCTATACAGGCAGTCCCCGGGTTATGTTCAAGATAGGGACTGTAGGTTTGTTCTTAAGTTGAATTTGTACGTAAGTCGGAACTGGCATCCAGATTCAGCCGCTGCTGAAACTGACCAGCAGTGGCTGAATCAGGACGCCTGGGGCAGAGCACCCCAGATGCTCTGCCCCAGACGTCCCCCAGTCAGCCGCTGCTGAAACTGACCAGCAGTGGCTGAATCAGGACGCCTGGGGCAGAGCACCCCAGATGCTCTGCCCCAGACGTCCCCCAGTCAGCCGCTGCTGAAACTGACCAGCAGTGGCTGAATCAGGACGCCTGGGGCAGAGCACCCCAGATGCTCTGCCCCAGACGTCCCCCAGTCAGCCGCTGCTGAAACTGACCAGCAGTGGCTGAATCAGGACGCCTGGGGCAGAGCACCCCAGATGCTCTGCCCCAGACGTCCCCCAGTCAGCCGCTGCTGAAACTGACCAGCAGTGGCTGAATCAGGACGCCTGGGGCAGAGCACCCCAGATGCTCTGCCCCAGACGTCCCCCAGTCAGCCGCTGCTGAAACTGACCAGCAGTGGCTGAATCAGGACGCCTGGGGCAGAGCACCCCAGATGCTCTGCCCCAGACGTCCCCCAGTCAGCCGCTGCTGAAACTGACCAGCAGTGGCTGAATCAGGACGCCTGGGGCAGAGCACCCCAGATGCTCTGCCCCAGACGTCCCCCAGTCAGCCGCTGCTGAAACTGACCAGCGGCTGACTACAGAAAGCCCGAGGCAGAGTTTCTCTGCCCCGGGCTTCCTGTAGTCAGCCACTGGTCAGTTTCAGCAGCGGCTGAATCTGGATGCCAGTTCCGACTTACGTACAAATTCAACTTAAGAACAAACCTACAGTCCCTATCTTGAACATAACCCGGGGACTGCCTGTATACTATCATCTTTACCTGGAAAGGGTATGATGTTCTTGGTTTTGTACATTAAAAAACCCCAGCTCTTTATCTACCTTTGAAGACTTTATGGTGACTGGAAAACTAGTGTAATGACTAATGCTATGAGTCAGTCATGGATTCCGTGATCTTGCAAGGCTTCTCTGACTGCCTGAAAATTATAATTAAGTCTGGGTGAAAGGGCTGAGGATCTCAGGAAAGGGACTATTGGTCAGTTTAAAACTCTTGTGTCTACTGAAACAAATTTAACTCCAATGCCTAAGACAGTGGTTCCCAGCTGCTGGGCCACAGCAGCTCTGGGGGCCAGGCCTGAGGTACACTGCTCTCACCGCAGCCAGGAGCAGGGACTCCTCTTGGCCATGGAAAAGTGCTTCCTTGCATGGCTGAGTCGCTTCCCACAGCCCTCCTGCTGCGAAGGGAAGCGCTCTTTGGGGTCAGGAGACACTGTGCCGCACGCACACCTGGGTGTCTTTGCATGGGTGCCAAGATGTCACATCGGGACCCACTGGTGCCCGATTGACATGAGAGCTACAAGGAATGGGTCCCTGGAGCAGAGCTGAGGTTCCCATGTAGGTGTGCGCTGTGGAGACGGAGGGGGGGAGGGAAGGGGGAGCACAGTGCGCATGAGAGAAAAACAGAGAGAACTGCGTGTGCACAGTGCTCCCTGACAGCTAGTGGGGATAGGAAGGGAGGAAAAAAAGGCGGAGCATGTGCTTGCATAAAATATCCCTTGGGTACCAGGGAGAAGACCTGTGCATGCATACAGATCATTCTGAAGGTAGACCTGGAAGTCGGGAGGCAGTGCACGCACGTGACTGAGCTGGGTCTGAAGAAGGGCTGGTGGGGGGCTCTAAAGGGTAGGGGACTGGCACTGAAATGTTCAGGATGAAGGATGGGCACTGGGGGGCTCTGAGGGTGGGAGGCTGGTATGGGAGGTTGGGTGCAGGGGACTCTGGGGTCAGTGGCACTGGAGGCTCAGCTTCTGGTGGACTGGTAAATTCTATTTGAACATTCATCTTTTGCATAATGAATATGCAAATATAATATTACCAGTCTACTAAAAAGTTTGTGAATGGGTTTGGCGGTCCCCGGTTTCAAAAAGATTGGGAACCACTGGCTTAAGACACACTTGGGAGCACTGAATCTTTAACAAATATTCCTTTCTTCCATCATTTAAAGAATGAAAATAGCTCAAGATCTCCATAATTTTCCCAGCTGAGTTAGGTTGGGAAGAGGTAAACCTTAGCCACAAGAAAACATTTTCGTATCCCAAAAAGCTTTTTGCGTCTTCTTTGTATACCACCAAAAACAACAAAAGGACACACGCCCAATTTGTAGAAGATTGTTAACAGATGTTTATAAAGAGACTGTTACAATTACAGCCCATTCCCCCCCTTACGTGTCTTCAAAATAGGCTAAAACAAAAAAAACCAAAAAACAGTCCCCTCAAGAGGGTCGAGAGCTAATAATTGTCAAGGTAACTAGGTAGTTTCAGGTAAATTGAGTAAAAGAAGAGTGGCTTATTTCCACAATGCTGTTATACAAGAACTGACTCTTGCATGAATCAAGTCTGACTCTTGCATTAATCATGACAGGAGCAGACATGTTCCAATGTCTTTCCATAATCTGACTTCCATTATGAGATTTATTAACAGCCCACATACATTCAATCATAACTCTGCCTGCAATTTCAAGGGAGGTTTTTTTCTGCAATCCTCTTCCATATCATTCATGGAGTCTTTAAAGACCCATTCCTTTTCTAGATACAAGTCAACCAATTTTATAAATTTGATGGGACTCTTTCAGAGCCATAATTATGCTAGTCTCTTAGGGTGCGTCTACACTGAACCGTTATTTCGCGATAACTAGCATTATTTAAAAATAACATGACAGTCTACACAGCCATTCCATTATTTTGAAATAATTTCAAAATAACGGACGGCTTATTCTGAAATCTGTAAATCTCATTCTACGAGGAATAACCTACACTAGGGAAGCCTGCCTTGGACTAATTTTGAGGCTATTTCGAAATAAGCGATTTCGGAATAACTATTCCGGAATGTCTTTTAATGACTCTTTATTACCAATTATTTTAATATTGTGTCATATAGGACCCTGTCATTTTTCAGACCCTGTGATTGTGGTTTGTGTAATATTATTCCATCCAACTTCAAAAGAATGACTGCTTAGTATAGATCTCTTCCCAAATACTCACTTTGGTGATGGTCTTTAAAATAGCAAGTCGATCCACAGGTGGTGGCAAACCCACATAGAGTGTTTTATCAAGTCTGCCAGGGCGCAGGATAGCTCGGTCAATTATGTCTAAGGGGAGGAAGAAAAAATATATTCCTGAAATTAGATGGAATAATAGAAGAGTGTATGGAATAAAATAAAATGTCTTTAAGATACTGTTTCAATGATACCTCATATCAATCAGGTTAAAAACAGAGAGAGAGAGAATCAACTGGGATAAATATTGGAGAAATTACAGTGAAAGAGGAGATTTTTTGTGTGTATGGTGGACCTGTGCAGTCAGGGTATTGGGATGCAGTCCGGGTATTGGGATGCAGTCCATAACAAAATATCACGAATTGCTGGATATTTACTACCAGATCTGCTGGGAATCCTCCTGGGGCTTCCACAGAAAAGGAAATGAAGACTCAATCTTTCATCTGTTGGTAGCTGTTCAGTTATTGATAGCCCATCATTAGAAAAATAAAAGAAAAATAGCTCAACTATAAAGGAATGCTTTAAAAAAGTGCCAGTGATTATGGAAAAATTAACACACCAATTACCCATCCAGCAAGACAGACAGAAAACAGAAATACTTACATATCTGGTTAACTTTTATTCAATACTCAAATAAAGCATATTCGTCTGCAAAAAAGAGGCAGCACAGCCGTCCAAGTGTTTTGAATATTAGTATTTGATCTGCATGTCTGGTCCATTAAATGTTTACACAGAGATTTAATTCAATTTAATAAAATCTTTAGAAAAGACATATTACAGGGCTATGTCTACACTGCCCTCTCTTGCACAAGAAAATATGCAAATGAGGTGAAGTGGTGAATATAGCTGTGCCTCATTTGTATACTTAATGAACTGTCATTTTGCACAAGAGGCTTTGGTGCAGAAAGGAGCTGTCTATATAGCTCCTTTTTGTGCAAAAACCCCCTCTCACGCAAGAGCCATTCTTCCTGAAAAAAAGCAGCAGAATGGCTTATACATCAGACGTATTACAGGAAAGAAAAACTTAAACAACAAATGATGCTGCATGACCTTTTGTTGTTTTAAGTTTTTTCAGTTACAGACTAACACAGCTACCCCTCTTGAGACTTTTAAACAGGAAAGAAAAAGAAACAGATAGTAGGGATACAGAGATGGGAGCATTACATAAGAGGTAATTCAATCAGGGTGGATGCGAATAAGATGGTGAGAATACCTAAAGTGGAAAATTACTTATGGTAATAAGTGAACAATTCCCAAGCTCTATTCTGGGATGCTGCCAGCTGTGGGCGCTCCGCTAATTAGCTGGGTGGCCATCCAAGCGCTTAGGTGACAAGGAACAATGGTCCCGGGCCTCAGACCATCACTAACCCCTGCAAGCACCAGCAGCAGCCCAGGGCTACCCCGCTACAAGTACCCACAGCAGGCCTGTAGCCAGACAGACACCCCTTCCCCCCCATCACATCCATCTTATTTGGCTCTCTGAGGTTCCTGAAGCATACAGGACAGAGAAGGAGCAATAAAATCAGCATAGTCTATGATGGCTCATCTGATCCTGAGAAGCTGAAAAAAACCAGATATGTGGAGAGAGAGCGATTAGGTCAGTAAGCTGGCCTCGAGGCTGCGAGAACTGCCCCGGCTGGCACCCATGTTGATTCGAACACACACAGTCCCTGGGAGAGGAATTTCCCACTGAGAAAAGAACCCCCAGTACTTCCAATTTAATCATCTCAATTCTCTCTTACAAGTGTAAATTAAGTTCACAACTCCCTTGTAAGAACTGGTCTCACAAAAGACAGACCAGCCCCATTTGGCATGACAGATAAGAAAGAGAAATACGTGACCCCATGGGTATATAAGATAGTTCCAGCACACACTCACTTTGAGTGTCATTCTACCCTCTACCTGCTGGTCGGGTTAGGTGTTTGACCTCCCGAGGTTCTATGGGGACGCCCACCTCGTATTTTCGTCTTTCTTAGGAATTGAGGGACCGGCCCTGGCCTGACATGCTGGAGTCGAGAGGCACAGAAGGGGGTAAAAATTGTACCTGGATGTGGTCCTCTGTCTTAAGTGTACACATAGAGTAAGCTGTTACTTGGTACCATTATTTCTATTTTTCTATCTTTATCTTCCTTGTAACCATTTTTAAGATCTATATTTTGCTAGTAGTTAAGAAATAGAACAATAGCCATTGCAACCATATGATTTATAAGCTTCTTCAAATAAACCTGTAACTGTTTAAGTTTTAACCTGACTCCTTCAGTTGCTGTAACAGAACCAGGCACAATTTAAAAGAACTTCAGCCGGTCTTAAGGGACAGATATAGGGAGCCCTGACCGTCAGCTGACAAGGCCCCCTTCCCCAATTTAGTCAGGGTGTATAGAATAAATCACAGACATGTCACGGGCCATGAATTTTTGTTTACTGCCGGTGTGACCTGTAGATGAGTTTTACCAAAAATATTTGTGACTAAACGGTAGCCTTAGTTATGGGGAAAGTTATGCCACATTAAGAACAGATGATAAGAAGTCAGTCCAACAGCTAAGAATTGCTTTTAGTGAAACAGTATCAAAGACTATAACTATGCACTTTTATCTGAACATCTCAAAGTGCTTTACAAATATTAAATTAAGCCTCACAATTCCCTTGTATAAGTATGATTCCCATTTTACGAACAGGAAGCTAAGAAAGGAGCAATTAAGTGACATGTCCAAGGATATACGTTAGTGACAAAGTCCAGTAAAACATGCAGTTCTAATACCCAGCCACTTGCTTTAACTACTCATCTAGGCTTCCTCTTATCCTTTTTTTTAGTCATTGGCACTTAAATGATCCTGAAAACCTGAACAATTCCATTTCTGATAGTCTCCAGCAGTACCTTTCTTTGCCTTCTCCAAGATTTTGGAAAAATTCAGACCTTACAGCAATGATTCTTGATGTTATTCTAAACAAAGGCCTGGAATCACTACAAAGTTAAGCTGACATCATGTAATCAAATGGAAGAGGGCACAGGAGATGCAGAGTTTTACAGAATCCCCTGTGTCAAGTATATGTACAACAGTTTATCAAAAGGTGGCATGTAAGGTCTCTACCAAAAGCCCATGGCCCACTAGTCATCATAATCATTTCATAATGTACATATGCATAAAATTTAAGGGGTTATGTATTTATAATACACATTATGTTCTAAAAGCCTTGGGCTTAGGGTAGATAACCAAGAGATATATTAAGTAGGTTCCATTCAAGCAGTGTGTAGCAGACAATTATTTCCCTCTCTGATCCTTGTGTACTGAGTGTTTTGTCTGGAAAATGATGGAAAAATTTTGCGAGCTAAGCTTCAAGAGACATGAAAGTATCTTGGTAACTAAGTCGAGGCCTTAGCAGTGTTATTTTATTTTACATGTTACCATTTGTTCCTAAATTTTGACTTGCTACTTTTCAAATCTTAAGTATCTAGTGGAACAAAGGCTAGACACGCTCAGAGGGTGTGTCTAGACTACAGGGTTTTTTTTTTTAAAAAAAGTGGCCTTTTTTCTAAAAAACTTCCTCTGCATCTAGACTGCTGCTGCGTTCTTTCAAAAGTAAATCGAAAGAACGTGGCAGTTTTTCCAACCATGGAAAACCTAATTTTATGAGGAAGAACGCCTTTTTTTGAAAGTGCTCTTTCGAAAAAAGGCACTATGTAATGCAAACTGTCCTTTTTAGAAAAAGAGCATCCAGATTGCCTGCATGCTCTCTTTCGAAAAAGCATCTTGCTTTCTCAAAAGTACTGGTTGTAGTCTAGATGCTCTTTTTCAAAAGAGGCTTTTTGTATCTTTCAAAAAGGCCTCTTTCGAAAGAGGCTTGCAGTCTAGACGTAGCCAGAGATTGGAGTGCCCAATTGCTAACATGCAGAGGAATAGCAAGGCTGAGAGGACAGTGTTCGCGTTGCTTGTGGAGTCAGAAGACTGAACCACAACATGTATAAGGTCTCCTCATGCTAAGGGTGGCTGGTAGCCAAGTGTCTTACAACCATGGGTACCTCCAAAAACCACAACTAATACACTTCTGGGAATCACAGTCCTGTGTAGGAGAAGACATTTTATGTCCTTACACACTTGGGTCACAATGGCTCCATTGTGGATTTTCCAATTCCAATAGGATTGCCCACTGACTGACAGCAGTCTGGTGTTGTAAATTTCAAGAGCATAATTGCCGCTTCACTTCTAGCACTCTTCATTTTAGTGTCCTTGCACTGGAAGGTTGAGGTGAGCTTGGCACACAGCCCCAGGAATATGGTCTTTTGTATCCAAAAGTTCTGCAGCCATTGCTTGCTTTTCCAAACCTGCATGATGGCGTGATCCCAACAGTCAGCATTCATTTCTTGGGCCCAGAAATATCACTCTGCCACATGGAGTGATTTCGGGAATGTCAGCAGCTATCTGGCATTTTTGTGCAGTCTCTCTCAACATCCAGTTATTGTTCTGTATCCTCCTCATTACAATCCCGATTTTGCAGCAATTCACCCTCAAGTTTCACAAATACTAGAGAACTGTGTGTCGTGTATTAGCACCAGGCAAGAAAATTGTGCTGAGCTCTGTAGGCTTGTGTCAGAGATGGTGGACATTGACAAGTGAACTATGGGAGAGTTTTAAAAAAATTAGGGGCTGTGAAAAGGATGATGGGATGTATGAAGTGGCATGGTGGGAACTTGACCCTAATCTTCCACAAGTTCCTGGACCGTGTGCTATATGCAACAAAGCACTGAAAAAATGTTCCAAAAGGGACTGTGCTAGATGGTAGTGTGCAGCACATTGAGAATCCTACCCAGCATGTGCCACACTTAACATCAATACAAGAACTCCTGGTATGTGCAGTGCTGAAGCAAGCAGTCAAGTGTGCATTTCAAGATTCTTGAACAACTGCAAATTTTGTAATTATAGTTGTCTATTTTCTCTGAGCAATTCCAACACATTCTCTGAATTCCAGGAGAGCCAGAATAATCTATGAAACATTTTGAGCTGCATCAGTTTAAGGATCACATTCTAAATAACTATAATAGCTCATTTTCTTTGGTTCATTTCTCACATAAATTCCAGATCTTTTCACCAAATACATTTTGAATAATGGGTCCTTATGCCATGTAATACATTTCTCTGTGAAGCCTGATGAGCTAGAGTCTCATTTTTTCCAAAAACTCATTATTAAACATTTGCTTTGGGCACAAAAACTCATTTCAAGGTACTGTACATACAAGAATAGATTTGTAAATTCTGCCAAAATATCAGTCTATTAATCCTCTTTTCCCCCCAGCTGTAACATCTAAATCTAACATCTTCATAAATGTGTTTCTTTCTGCACCCAAATTATTAGTTGGTCATTATCTTTAAGTGATTATACATAAACTGAAGTGTTGGAGCATAAGCTTTCGTGGGCAAAGACTCACTTCGTCATATGCATGACATGCATCTGACGAAGTGGATCTTTGCCTATGAAAGCTTATGCTCCAACACTTCGGTTAGTCTATAAGAGCCACAGGACTCCTTGCCGCTTTTGCAGATTCAGACTAACATGGCTACCCCTCTGATACTTGACTACATAAACTGAGTATTTCACACTGTGCAATTATATCCTGCAACATTCTTTATTCAGTGCTCTCAGTATGCATCGTAAGGGAATTAAAATCCTGATCAAGCACTCAAGATCTCGCATTGTCATCAATGGGCACAATGAAACAATAACTTCTATGTAAATTAAATAGTCTCCTGGATATTTGGCACTAAGGGAAAAAGTTACTGTATGCCACCAAGATGTAAGTTCCCTTTTGTTATTGCAAACAGTGTACTTGAGTCACAGAGTGTACTTTTCTAATAGCCTTTGTTTGGAGTACATTAAGTATTTTCAGGAAGTACTTGTTTCCAGGAGCAGATTCTAACTACAGACCCTGCCTTGGAGCCCATAGATGTGCTCCTAGCAAGTAACAGCTAATAAATCACTGCAGTTAGACAAAGCCTATGGGGAACATGAATATGACCTGGAATAAGCCATTAAAGCAGTAGAAGTATTTGTATTCTTGAACATAAACTTGTGTTTTTCAGAACAGCAGTACTTACACTGCCAAAACACCTCCACCTCACAATTCACATTTGGACGCATTCTGTTCATAGTGAGTGAGAAAGCCCATTTGGATCCAGATTGCACATTTCCAACAACAGATTCCAATATTACTTAAAGGTATGTGATACTGAACTGAACCTGTATCAAGTAAGAAGTTCTCTGCTTGTCAGGGTTAACATTCTAGGCGAATGAGCAGATGCCTGTTCTTTTAAATCTGGTACATTTGACAATGTACCAGACACCAAATAAGAAAATTTTAAGGGTACTTTGACAGTTACAGGAAATTAGATTAAAAAATATAAGGTGTGATGAGGTGATGAAATGCCCACATTGTCTCATAAGAAGCCTTTGCTCACAAGTTTTGAACAGCATGATAAAACAGTGCCAAGCAGGGACTACAAATGCAACTGGAGCAGTGACATGTAGCTTTAAGAAATACAAAAGGGGCAGCAGTAGCTCAGACCCCCCCCCTGGAATTACCCCTCCTTCAAGCACTGTCAGGCCCAAAATCATACATGGGAGAGCCTCACTTTGGTCATACACCAGTGCCCATGGTGCTCCACCCTTCAGAAAAGGAGCTACTGGAAACTCAGCTGGGAGGACCAGAGACAAACAGTTGCAGAAGGGATCCTTGGGCACTGATAAGACCAGACTACTTGCTTCAGGTTTTATTCTGGACATTATTTTCCCTGTGTTGACAAGTTTACACTCTATTTCCCATCCTCCCAGTCTCTTTACTTCAGCCTCACTTCAATATGCCTTACATGGTTGCCTTCTCCTCACTACCTTATCCCCTCACTTCAATGTCTGCTCTCCCTTCCTTTGTCTCTATTTGAATCCTTTTTAACAAAACCTCACCCAAATTAAAAACCTCCCATAAACACCAAAAACTTGCAGACTGACACAGCATTTGTAGACCTTCACATTGTTCATGTTAAGTTCTCTTTCTGTATCCACTCTTTGCCTTGTCAATAAAATTATTCAGGAAAATTAATGTTTCTTACTCTGTTTGTACAATGCCTAGATTGAAGAATGGGCCCTGGCCTCAGTTTGGTCCATGGGCAATTCTGTTATACAAATAATTGAATGAGTGAATTTTAAGAAGTGTCATGTTAAAAGAAAAGGATAGTTTTATGTCTTAAACAGAGACGCTGTCACTCTCATATATGAACATCACCCAGTTGGAGAAATCTATGGCAGCAAGTCTCAGAGCTCAGGTCTACAGACTTGGGCTTGCACTGTTGTGCTAAAAATAGTCATGCTGATGTTTGGGCTTGGGCTGGAGCCTAGAGTGCTAGGCTTTAGAATCAGAAGCTTCAGCCCAAACATCTATACAGCTATAGATGGGAGTACAAAGGGAGTACAAGTCTGTAGTCCAGAGTTCGTAGACGTGTTATCAAACCTTGATAGGTTTCTGCTTGCCATGGAGACATTAGGGATGCTAAGTATCAGTTAATTAACTAATTTTCCCGGAGCTGTCCCGGAGCCGGGAGCTAACACTGCTGCAGCTCTGCACTTCAAATGTAGTAAGGGGTTAGCTCCTGGGGGAACAGTCCCAGCTCACGCCTCCCCCAGACCGCTGCAGCTTCAAAGTAGGAATAAGAGATCCTCCGGAAAAGGGCTTTTTTCCGGAGGATCGGGGCCAGTGTAGATGCTCTTTTCCGGCTTTTCTAAAAGCCGGAAAAAAGCGGCGGACATTTTTATTTAAATGCCGCGGGGGATATTTAAATCCCCCGCGGATTTCCCTATTACGACCTGTAAAATTAGCATGCCCCTTTCGGAAAAGGGGCCAGTGTAGACGTACCCCCACAGTGCTTTTATCTACACAAAAAGATTAGCTGAAAATCACCTGAACTCTTCTGAATATTAAGCAATGCAAACAAAAAATATGAGCAAGACAATAAATCTGCTTTCAATGTCACAATCAGTTAAGCCTTAAATTAGATTATATAAATTAGGGTTTTAAAACAATCTTAATGTAGAAATTATTTTTTACTTCTCTATGAAACAATGTTTGAGTTTAAACATTTCCTGCAGCGTTTGCACCCCAAACACCGACATTGTGTTAGTGAATGAGAACCAGAAAACGACTCTTCATTGTTCAATCAGACAAAAACATAAGTAGTAAACATAAATGGCAAAGCGTTAGAGGGTTCTTTCAATTGTAATGAGCTAAGGTGGTGTTAGTAACTAGGGGTATGTCTACACTACCACCCTAGTTCGAACTAGGGTGGTAATGTAGTCAACCGGAGTTGCAAATGAAGCCCGGGATTTGAATTTCCCGGGCTTCATTTGCATGTTGCCGGGCGCCACCATTTTTAAATGTCCGGAGTACAGGTAGTTCGGAATAGGAAGCCTAGTCCGAACTACCTAGTTCGTGCCGCGTGTAGCCGCGGGGCACGGAGTCCGAACTAGCGGACATTTAAAAATGGTGGCACCCGGCAACATGCAAATGAAGCCCGGGAAATTCAAATCCCGGGCTTCATTTGCAACTCCGGTTGACTACATTACCACCCTAGTTCGAACTAGGGTGGTAGTGTAGACATACCCAAAAGTACCAATAATTGTTTTTAAAATATATTAATTTTAAACCTGAATCTCTTTGTGGAAAAAAGCAAACTTTTGTATTTTTTTGTCTCTCACCTGGCCTGTTGGTAGCAGCCATAATGAAAACCTGCCGACGATGTTCTAGACCATCCATCTCTGTTAGCAACTGGTTTACCACACGGACACTGGCACCAGCCTGAAAACAATAATGTGGTTCCAGCAAAATTGAGAAAGCAAGCACGAATGTGAATTATTTAAATATAGAAAAATGATCATCTATCCCAATAGCCTGTCTTCCAACAGTGGCCAATGCCAGATGCCCCAGAGGAAGTGAACAGAAACAGGTAATCATCAAGTGATCATTCTCTTGTCATCCATTTCCAGCCCCTAGATGTCCAAAGTCCTTTTAATCTCTCACAAAGGCTAGGGATACCATTCCTACCCATTTTGGCTAATAAGTATTGATGGACCTAACCTCCATGAATGTATCTAGTTCTTTCTTGAACACTGTTTAAGTCCTGGTCTTCACAACCTTCTCTGGCAAAGAGTTTTTTATAAAATTTATACATTAATGGAGATTGCCTATCTCCTAGAACTGGAAGGGACCTTGAAAGGTCATCAAGTCCAGTCCCCTGCCTTCACAGCAGGACCAAGTACCATCCCTGACAAATTTTTGCCCCAGATCCCTAAATGGCCTCCACAAGGATTGAACTCACATCCCTGGGTTTAGCAGACCAATGCTCAAACCACTGAGCTATCCCCCCCCAGAGGTTGACTGTGCACAGTGTGAAGAAAAATTTCCCTTTGTTTGTTTTAAATCTGCCACCAATTAATTTTATTTGGTGACCCCTAGTTCTGATGGGAACAAGTAAATGACTTTTCTTCATTTACTTCCTCTATATTTACTTCATGATTTTACAGTCTTCTATCATATCCCCCTTTAGTCTCCTCTTTTCTAAGCTGAAAAGTCCAAGTCCTTTTAATCTCTCTTCATAAGGCAACTGTTCCAAATCCCCGATCATTTCTGTTGCTTTTTTCTGAACCTTTTCCACTGTCAATATATATATTTTTTGCGATGAGGTGATCACATCTGTAGGCAGCATTTAAGATGTGGGTATTTATACAGAGGATTTATACAAAGGCAATAAGATATTCTCGGTCTTATTCTCTCTCCCTTTTTAAATGATTCCTAACAGTGTTTGCTTTTTTTGCCTGCTGCTGCACACTGAGTGGATGTTTTCAGAGAACTATCCACAATAACTCTGATCTCTCGAGTGGTTATTGCTAAATTAGTCCCCATCATTTTGTATCTATATTTGGGATTATTTTTTCCAATGTGCATTACTTTGCATTTATCAGCATTAAAATTAGTTTGCCATTTTATTGCCCAAATCAAATGGCAGAAATACACACGTTATTGTAACAAGCAAACAAACGTTTAAAATCATAGGAATCCCAACTATGAACCACGAGAATTGTTGCTCTGATCCTGGAACAAAGGCAAAAGAGAACTAATTTCCTTTTGCTTGATCACTACAGGACAGGGAGTCCTCAAAATAATGTTGAGGAACTATACAGAACTAGGATCTGATTCACTACTACATTAGTCCAATTTTATGCTGATATGATTTAACTGAAGCTACACCAATGTACAAACTAAAATAACAAAATAGTGAAACCGGCCCACAGTGTTTACATTTATTCGGGCCTCAAAACTTTGTCCTGCGGAGTTCACATCAGGGGTCTGGTGGGAACTCATCAGCTTGGCTATGCTTTGCAACAATATAAATTTTTTCACTTTCTGGTGGAGATATAAGAGCAGCCTTCCTAACCACAGCAAGGAGTTGCACTCCCAATCCACAATTGACAATGTGCAGTGACTCCATGACTACACAGATGGCAACTGTAGAAAACTTCAAAAGGGGCTGAACATCCACATCCACCTGTGCTCATCCAAATAAAAGGCATGCTCTACACTTAAAATTAGCCTAATTTCAGACACTGGTATAGTTACTATAGCCCAAATCCCTAACATATATAGAAGGAAAGCTGCAATTTGCAGTGGTGGAACTCTGGTTTCATGAAGGAGTCAGCTCCACCTGTGCAAATTGCAGCTTTCCATATATACCAGGGTTTCCTAACCTATGTGCCAGGACCCATATATGGGTCGCCGTTACATTTCAAAAGGGTCGCCAGTTGGCTCTTAAGGAGACATTCACACATTTTTTGAATTCCCCTGGGTCACCATGTCTTCCTGAATTGTCAAAATGGGTCCCCCTCTGGAAAAGGTTGGGAACCGCTGGGGATTTGTGCTACTACAGCTACACCAGTTATTTAAACAAGACCCAATTCCACATGTAGACGATGCTCAAGATTCTCTTCCACAAGTCAATCAAGGCAGATGGGGGTCTCATTAGAAAAGGATCTAGGAAGGCCATATACCCCACTCTGCTCCTTACATAAAACATTTCCTTGATTGGTTCCATCAGCTAGACTCAGCCTATGTGACACTAAGGAGCTTTTGTTTCCATTATTATTGCCATCAGGGTTCAGGATTTGCTCCTAAGTTAGCTACTACACTAAAATGCACCCTATTTTCCATTATGGCTTTCCAGCGACAAGAGATATTGAGACACCTGAACTAACATTTCAATTGGAAAAATTTTCCATCATCTGGGAGCCATTTGCATATAGCTATGAGTACAAATATCAGCAGGTAGGTATCATACCCAATTACACATTTAGTGATTGCATTTGTATCTTTGGCTTAAATTTGTAGTAACCCTGTAAGAGAATTACTGTTACCCAGAGACAGAAAATTTACATGGCTTCTCTACTGAGTGGTCTGTGAGGAGGGACCAGTGAGCAGTATTTCAAAGTTTACACAACATACTCTCCACTCTTAAACCCACAAAAGAGAAAAGTTACTTGTACAGATATTTTCAAACTCACCTCCCGGTCCGATCTCCGAGGGCACAAAGCATCAACTTCATCAAAAAATATAACGCAAGGGGCTGAATTTCTGGCCCGCTGGAATACCTGACGGACAGCACGCTCACTTTCACCAACATACTGAAATAAGCAAAACATAGCACTTAATGAAACTATGAGAGGCGTCTACATTTTGCCTTTTTGCCTTAAACTCCAATTTAGCCCATAATTTAAGAGACAGAAGGAGTCACACTTTTGCAAGTTCACTGAATTTAAGTCTGCCTCATCACTTGTTTTTAATTGGGGACAGATTTACATCTGAACTGATTATGTTTGTGTTGTCTCACAGTTATACATACTCATCTTACCAAAAGTGTTACATGCAACACAGTTTCAGTGCCAAACAGGCAAGAAGCCCCCACTTTTTTTTTAAATGGATAACTGAGGCATTTTGACTAAGAATTAATAGTTACATTCTTCACTAGAACCTTTGTGGCTCTTTAGCTGGCCACATCATATTAGTTATTAAAGTCATCCACAGATTGCATCATCTGAAGTTCATATTGCAATTACAAGAATATAGAAAGAAGTAGATGTGAGAGGTTGACACAAAAATAGTAATTACTTGCAAAAATAATTGTTCAAGTTCTGAATAGCAATTTTTCCAAACATGTTCATTTACCATTGTTACTCTTTGAATTCATTTATCTTTAAACCTCTCAGAGTGCAAGAGTTAGAACAGTTCCTCTTTGTACTTAAGGAGACAGGGATTCC